TTATTTTTATTATTAAATTGTTCTTACCTCACCCTACCAAGGATAAGCCTCCTTATCCTTGCTCCCCAATCCTCTCCCCTGTCCCCTGGGGGTGGGGGGCAGTGGGTGAACGGCTGTGTTGGCTGCAGCCAAGGGCCAGCCCAGCGAAACCATCACACAAGGTTTGAATGCACGTCAAGTGTAAGACAGAGAAATAATCCTGTGTTCAGTTCCCTGTGTGTTCCACCAGCTGTCCCATGGCAGGGGCTCCTGCTTTACTCTTAAAACTTAGTCCAAACACCTTTATCTTTTCTGGATAACCATTTCTCAGCTGGCTTCTGGGACAGCCTCTCCCTGCATTTGTCACCTGTTTTTAAAATCACTTCAGAAGCTCCTCAGAAACACATCTGTGAGAATTAAACATTACACACCCTACAAGACCAGCGTCCACTGAGCTTTTCAACACAGTTTAGGAACAAGCTTATCCAGCACTTCTGACAGAAGGAGAGTGACTGCAAACATCTCTGACGGTTACCAGCCTCAACACAGGATAAAACCCTTGCTATTCAGGTTAGTGTGTCAGGAGAATGAAAATCTCTGAACATCAGTCAGGGTTCCTACCCTTTCCATTTCAGCCCAATCCTCAAAAGATTTGCTATGTCGCCACGAATGTAAGGCTGACGTGGATCCTCTCACCTGATTCTGTAACCACTGGTTCTCTCAGGAGGACACGGCCTCCTGGCTTAAGTATCCGAGCTATTTCTGCCAGTACCTCCGCGCTGTGCTGCACTGTACTGCCTGGAACCATGCCCGAGAGAACTACATCGAAACTGGACTCCCTGTGAGCCGCTGAAAAGAAAGAAAAAGGAAAATTATAGAACTTTATGTGTAGACACAGAGCTTTGCTTTTTCTACATGTTGTCCTGGTTTTTAGCTGGGCAAGAGCTGGGTTTCTTTTCAGTAGCTAAAATAGTGCTGCGTTTTGCTTTCAGCCTGGGATTTGTGAGGAGAGAAACGCTGAGAACATCCCCATGTTGCATTTGTGTCCCTGGCACTGAAGGACTTTGTGGTTGTCCGTCTGCAAGCGCCAGATCTAATAAATTAAATTAATAAACTAAATTGACATCTGGCTCTGCCAAGGGGCTGTTCCATCTCCTGTCCCCCATGGGCAGGAGATCCATGAGGGGCTCTTCCTCTCTTGCTCTCTCTGGTTTTCGCTCGGGCTCTGGCTCTCCCGGGATTGTGGTTTCGGGTCGGGACTGTGGCTCCTCCGGGATTGTGATCTGGGAACGGGCCGGGCTTGGTCGGTGGGTGGTGAGCAATGGCACTGGGGGTCACTCATTTGTGTATTTTATTACTGTTATTATTATCACTACTATTTTAATATTAGTATTATTTTAAGTTTTATTTTATTTCAACTATTAAATTGTTCCTATCTCACCCTACGAGTCTCCTTACCCTTGCCCCCCAGTCCTCTCCCCTGTCCCCTGGGGGTGGGGGGCAGTGGGTGAACGGCTGTGTTGGCTGCTGGCCAAGCACCAGCCCAGTGAAAACTCTCTCACACATCAGTTCCACCTCCCTCCTCATCTCCCACGCTTGCCTACAGCAGCAATAACTGATTAAAGACACCAATCATAGGAAGCACGACCAAGGTGTATCACTTTCTTTGCTCTGCTCCCAGTGGTAATTTAGCAGCAGGTGGTATTGTTGTTCTGAATGCTGACTTACAAACCAGGGACGATGCCAGCTCACACAACAGAAGCACCCTCTCCCTCTAAAAGAAACAGTGAAAAATTAAGCTTATTCTTACATTGGGAGAGCTGGTTAATGTTTTCCACAGCGACACGATTATCAGCTCCCACCAGTGCCTGAATTTTATCCAGCAAATCCTTCAGGGCTTCAACCGGAGAGGAGCTGTCCCAGATGATGGCCACGCGCTGGCCTGGCTCAACTCCGTACTCCCCCATTTCCGCAGCAGCAGCACCAAACCTGACAGCGGCAGAGAGAGGAACAGGTCACGGGGAGACAGAGAGGAAGGGCAAGTGCCAAGCAGCAGCATGAACCTCTGTGGATTGAGATTTAATCACAGAGCATCAACTTGTTTTAATAAATGGGGATTATTTTCTGGGGACAGGCAGCAGAGAGTTCCCACAAGCTGAGCGTTAACATGACATTAAGAAATTGCTACACTTAAGGGTGTCATTCAGTTTCTCTCCAGTTCAGAGACTAATTTTGCAGGGAGACTGCAAATCATGTTTAAAAAAAAACCAAAACAAAACAACCAACCAACCTAAGAAATCCTTACCTGCTTTCCTTAAAGATCTGAGGAGAGACATAGAGAGGATTTCTAGATTTTCAGGCTAAGCGACAACTATCTGACATTAAACATTGCTTTGTCTCTCCTCCTCAGGACACGACCTAGCAGACTTGGCTTCAAAAGGAACTTTTGGCATTCCCAGCACTCCAGATTGAAGCTCTTTCAACTCTTGTCACTGGCGACGCTGGGTGAGCAATGACACGGAGGGAGAAGGGGAACAGAACGTGCTGTTCTGAGAAGTTACAGTTCTGAGAAACCTGTCTGCACTCATATTTTATAAAAGATTGCATTCCTGACAGAGTCCAAAGAAAATCTGCACAGCAGAAGCGTCACAGTACAAATTTCTTAGCCTCTTTCACTCTACTCAGTAAATGCAAACCTATTTTCTCTAATTTAACACGACCACTGAGAACAGAGAGCACCGGTGAGCACACCAGTAAGCCCAGTGTATTTTCAGTTACCTGCGAGCCACACACTTGCTTTGGGAGAACCTGTTGTAAGGTCTGTACCAGAAATCATTCCATTACACATCCTGGTAACGCCACAACAGAACCATTATATTGTTGTGTTGAAAGTGACCCGTTTGGTTTACACCCTATCCCTTATTTTGACCCCTCACCTCACGTGGAATATTGGAGAGGACCTTTTGCTGATGGATCAGTAGCTCTTAAGGGACACTGCTGGATATGCAGCACTGCCAGCAAACTGGTCAGGAGAATGTTATGCTGGGGTAACCCGTCCTTTGTTTTTCTTACTCCGATATATGATGATCTGAAGTGGGAAAAACAACCCAAAACCATTGAGACCTCCCTCACTGATGGGAGTAGCCAGTCCTGGGGTAAAAGACGTGGACCCCTGAATGTATCATACAGCACTACAGACCTGCAGCCTGGGACCCCAACGAATGGGTTAGTGGTGCTTGAAAAACCTATTTACAATCTAAAATTGTATCATTTGACTACAAGCTGTCCTGGAAATTATTACCAATCCAACTGCTGAGGCCCTTGATCTACCAGCAGATCAAGCAACCCAAATACAAACTGCGATTTACCACCCTCGCAGGGTTCTCGATCACCTGCCAGCCAGAGAAGGGGGTGTTTGTGGTAAACTTCATGCTTCTCGTTGTTCTTTAATTGATGACAGTAGTAAAGTTGTGAAGCAAATTACTGCGGGCACGCGAAAGCTAACCTGTGTTCCTGTTCAAACACGGGAAGGGTGGGATATTCATATGTTTTCTTGGCTACCAGGTGGTCCACAGATTAAGAGGGTTTTATTTTATTTGTTATGTGGTTTGGCAACGTTAATGTTTTTACCATGTGTTATCCCATGTTTTATACAACTTATTCAACGTGTTGCATCTAACATGCAGTTTACACCTATCATTACTCTGATGGCATCAAACAAATTTGTGTTGTATGCCAATCTGAGCCATCATTTAATAATAATAAAAGAATAATAATAATTAAATTATTTGAAGTGCTCTTTTCCAACCTTTTCTAGATGACTATGTTTTCTCAAAACTGACTGGGTCTTAAGGCAATCTCTGAGCCGTGGAGTGGTGTGAGCAACTGCACTATGAACTTGTCTCAGAGATTGCTTGCAAGGACAGTCACAAGACCATGGGGTTCTGGAAACCCCGACTTGTGAAAACGTTCTGCCTGGACATGCCCCTGCCCCAAGCACGCGGCAGCTGCCCCCCAGCACAGAGAGATGCACCACGGCCCTCGAAGGGGTATTTAAGAAGGACCTGCTCGGGCAGTTTGGGGGTGGGGGGCAGAGACGATGACTGCCTGACCGCACCTCGCCTCCCCACGGCTGAAACAAGCCGTGTGTGTGACTGCTCATCCCTGAGGAACCGAGACCCCCTCGCCCCCCCCCCCGC